TAAAATGTGTTTGAATGATGGTTTCCATGAGGGATTGGGGAAGAGAGTATCTCTCATAGAAAACAGAATGAACAGAATCAAACATGTTTGGGAAGTGGGAAAGAATCTAATTGTGTTGGCACTTACATGCCCCTCCTGGAAAGTTGTGTTTAGTCCAGATTATGGGAGCCTTGAATGCCAGGACCATCCCATGTATAGTCTTCAGGTAAAGGCAAATCATAGATAAGATCTGCCCCTGGTAGCTGACTTTCCTCAACTCTGAGGAAAAATAGCCAAAATCCTTGTGAAGGAAAGTAACAGAAAAGAGAAGGAAGTTTCCTCCTGTAGGCCAGAACAATGAAAGAAAAACCTAAATTCTAAATTGATTTTGGTGTTTGAAAACTAAATAACACACTTTAATAACCCAAGGGACATAGATGAAATCAAATGAGAAATGAAAGTATTTTGAACTGAATTAAAATGAAAATACAACATATCAAACTGATTTTGGCAATTAAAACTTTCCGTGTGCAAGTGTGAAGCCGATGAGCAGTTTTGGAAGTGGGGAAACACTTGGGAATGAAACTGGGTAATTTGTGATTCCCAGGAAATAAAACCATGTTCCTGTGTTTTGGAGTCTGCCGTCTAATTAAGGCAGGCAGTGATTTCTACTTTAGGGTGTCTGTTCTCAGGCACCTCCCATCCTTTCTGGGCATTTTTCCTCGTCAGACACTCTCACCCACTGACTCCCTCCTCGTCTTATTTTAAAAGATACCCACTCAAGAACTTTGATGTTTCACCTTTTGAAACTTCTTGCATTTCTTTGAAACGCACCTACCTTGATTGCCCATTACTTAGGAGACTCTAGAACAAAATTTAAATTTCCTTAATCTTCAGACACATTCAGCGCATCAGAAGTTTGTGGCCAGTCGTTTAATAAGCCCTGGAAAAGGGCAGCCAGCCAGCTTCAAGACTATGCTAACGAAGACGCTACTTTGACCCCATTCTTAAGATGAATGAATGAATGCACCTGCACCGGGAGTGCCCTTGAGGCAGCAGCACATGTCATAGCTGGCTCAAAAACATCAAATATCTAACCAAAAGGGATCTCAAAGTCCACTAGTCTTGGACCCTTTGGCATTGAATCCCTTCTGATAACCTCCCTCTAACTAGGTGCCCAGACCACCATGTTCCAAGATGACTCATCCCTGGCCAAGTTGGCCCTTGTGGCTCCCAGTACCCCAGGCTTTGTACAAGACAGTGGAATCAAGAGATAAGTAACAGCTAGCTTTAGAAGACTTTCCACATCAGGATTGTTAGAAAGTTCTTTATGCAGAGACAGATCTACCTCCCTGCTAGTTCTACCTATTGTTTCCATTTGTTCTTTTATTCGTGCATTCAACAAATATTTATTGAGTTCCTACCTGTGCAAGCAGGCACAGGCGTTGGATGCTGGTGATACATTAGCAAGTAAGTCAGAGTTTGCTCTTTAGTTTCCTTTCTCATTCTACCCACGGGGTCCCAGAGAGGAAAAATCCAGTCATTCTGCCCTGTAGAAGACCTTCAGCTCTTTAAGACTGCTGTGTGAGTTCTCATTCCTGGCTCTTTATTTAGCATGGTTACAAGTCCCCTTGCCTGCCATCCTGAGTATAATCCCTCTGAATACATTCCTCATAGTTCCTATCACCCTTAAGTGGGGGCCTTAGAAGTGAATTTCTGATGAGTTTGGATTAAGAGGCTGCCAGTAGATATGTGCAGATGTGGGCACTATTTCCAAGGCAGGGTTTACCACCAGCAGTGACCTTGTCCCGGTGACCCACTCCAATATTCACGAGCTCCTGCCATAGCAATGCCCTCTCAAGGCACTAAGGGACCTACAGAGATGAATTAGAGAAATCCCACTTCTCAAAAAAACTGAGAGCAGTAGAGATAGACCATGCAACTCAAAGGAAGGAGAGGCCACAGAGCCTTAGAGATGTAGAGTATCAAAGAGACGATCTTGAGCTTGAAAGATGGGCAGGAGGAGGCTCTTACCAGAGTCCGGGTAGCACACGATGGAAACCCACTCCAGCCACTAGCAGTGCCAATAGTAAGGGAGGGATGGAGGACAGAGATGCCCCAAAAGGACTCTCTAAGGCTGAGTGATTGGGTGTATATGGGGGGGAGGGGAAAGAGACACCAAAATGTTCTTGAGGTCACCCTGGGAGTGTAATGCGATCAGAAGGGAAGCTGGGAAGTCAAGGCAAAGAGCTGGCTAAAGGGAGAGAAGTAGAATTAAGTTTGGAGAGCGTGACATGTAGTGAGTGGGACTGGCCACTAGGGGGTCAGGGATAAGTGCCTGGAGCCTGGGCTGTTTGGAGGAACTGAGAAGCCCTCCTGAGGGGCTAAGGTTTCTTACGCCTGAAGGCAGGTAGGGAGGTTGAGGCAGCCCAAGGCTCAGACCTGACTGGCAGCCCTGCTTCTCAAAGGGAGAATGACCCTAGAGGGGAGTGGCATTTGGAATCTCTAAAACAGTGGCAGGGAAGATATTTTGGATAGAGGGAGTGTCGTCAGAAAGCAAGCAAAACCTGGATTCTAAATGAGCTGTCTTTTAGTCAAAATGAGTTTGGTATTTATATTTTTGAAAGTTAATACAACATTAAATGAGAAGGTGAGGGTTTTTTTTAAATATTCATTAAATGAAAAGCCATGGATGAGGAAACGGTCGGGAAACACTGAAATGATGAAAAAAGACAAAAATGATTCAACAAGATGAGCTCGTGAAGGCGATTGTGAGTGGTCCTGAGAAGGGACACATTGATTCTGTTCTTGGGAAGAGCAAAGGAAGATGAGGGGGAGGGGATGAGGCAGGGCCTTGGGTATCACACAGGGTGGACCACAGAAAACCAAGTATCTACATTTCAAATGCTCTTGTTCTGGAGAGCCCATAATTCCACCGTGATTTCCTTGGCTTCCCGGTGTGGGCAGTGGGGGGCACAGAAGTGTGGGCCCCTTCCCAAAGCTCCTTGGCCCACAGCCAGCCACCTACTCCTTCCCACTCTTCTGGGACTTGAGGAAAATGGCATTTGGAGTTGGAAAAAAGATGGTGGGTGGGAGGGCCTGAGGAGACCCGACTGGAAAGAACTATTACCAACCAGCACATCAGGAGTGCAGGGCTGGCTGACTGAAAACCAGTGGGGTTAGTGGTAGGTGGCTCCAAACTGGTTCTGGTCTCAAGCCAAGGCAGCCAGAGTCTCAGGGGGAGGAAAATAATCAATCTGGCTGAAATTATTGTGACCAAAGCAAAAGCAGATGCCACATCCAGGGCCAATCGGTGGGGGGGATCCTGATGCAGCCAGGCCACAGAGGGGAAGATGACATGCAGAAGGGAGAATCACCCTGAGGAAGAGAAGTGCTTGGATTTGGTACCAGAAGGGAACCTCGAGCCCTCAGGCTGCAGTAATGACTGAGCAAGACCTTTGTCCAAGTGCCCAGGGCCAGCCACCTGCCGGCCTCCCTAACCTGCAGTCTCTTCCAGGTCTGAGTAGCCTTTCCTGCAGGCCTAGTAGCCATGGGGGTCCCACAATTAAAGTGCATTCAGGGTGTGACCTGGCCAGAGAATGGGGGACAGACCAGATGTCCATGGCCCTGGCACAGGAAGGGGTCCTGGCCACTGCTTAAAACATAAGACTCTTGTGGGGGATCACTTAAGAGAAGGAAGCCCCAAAGAGCCCAATGGACATTCTTGTCCTCAGACAGCCCAAAGAATGCTTTTTAAAACATTTGGTTAGGCCACTTGGCATGGGAAATTGAGCTCCAATAACAACAGTCGATGGTTTTCATGATTGTTTATAAGTGGATGGGAGTATGGACAACCCTTCGGGAAACCAGCATGGGAATATGTGGTTCCTGGTGCTGCTGACGGGCTCTGCTACCACCTCATTACCTCCTCTTTCTCTCAATGAAGAAAAGACTGTCCCTGCTGGTTCCCAGGAAGCCCCATAAACCAGTATTCATTGAGTGCTTTCTACTAGTATATGCTGGGAGCATTACCTGGATTATCCCTTACCAATGGTGAGAGGGAAGTACATTCTTCTAATTTTACGAATAGGTCTCAAGAGGGTGTAGTGACCTGGCCAACGTCACTCAGCTGGTGTTGCAGAGGCGGGATTTAAGCCCAGGTCTGCCCGAATCTGGAACATGTGCTCTAGCCACCATACTACACTACCATGAAGAAGGACCAACTTTGCACTGGTCTTTGGACTAGGGTACATGGGTGAGCTGAGATCTGGGCACACTCAGCACTTGCCAAAAGCGAAATTGACTCCTCAGCAGGGAAGGGGCACAGCCTCTTCACTGCTGCTGCCCAAATGCTCTTCCACCAAGTCTGGCTGTGGACCACCTGGGCCTGTATCAGAGTCCCATCTAGGAGGCTGGCAGGCATTTGGAGCATTTGTGGCAACCACAGTCCTCACACCAGCACTTGGAAGGTGGCAGCAGAGGAGACAAGCACATCGGTGGCAGCGTCTCTCTAGAGAAAACCACATCCCAGAAGTGGGCCAAGACAGCTGTTCCCAGGGCCCAAGCTGGGCCTCCATGTCTAACAGCAGGAGGAAATGCCCTGCCTCCATGAAGGGGCCAGTTTGAGAGAAAAACATGGCAACTTGGTCAGGGCAGTTCTCAGTATGACCTCCCTTTGACTGGGTTGGAACTCGAATTTGTGTGATGTTGCTCTGGAACAAAATACCAAGAGGCCAAAGATGCCAAAAAGCACAGTAGGGACATGTTAGTTCTGAGCTGTTCTGAAGGAATTCAAACTTGGCAACCAATACTGCCTCCTTTCACCCATCTGTAAGGATCTCCGGGCAAGGTAAAGACATGTCCGGGGTCAGCTAAGGATCTTCATCCCAAGGCTCAGACCCCAGTGCCCCAGAGAGGTCCTGGAAGTGACATGTCAGGGCCAATGACCACCCAAGGGCTTGAGGGCCCGGGCTCCCTAGGACACCACATATACTGCCAAACACAAGAAGGAGACCACGTGATACAGGAAGGAGGTTTATTGACCATTTATTTAATACAGGAGCCCAATTACATTTTAGAAGATTCTGAAGCACTGGAGTAGAATGAAAATCCCAGAAGAGAGACTAGGTGGGAAAACAATAGTTTCAGTGGAAGACAATGCAATGTTTTTAAAAATCAGCCTAAGGCACAGATAGGAAGCCACTACTTAGAAGTTGTCTGCTGCCCTTTGATTCAGTGAAAATGCCTCCAGTGGGTTTGGTATTTCTAGAGAAAGACTAAGCAAGGTGAGGGCGATCCTAAACCCAGGACAGGCAGCCCTGACCTCCTGTGTTGGAACTCAGACCTTCAGAGTCAGCTCTCATGAAGACCCACAGGCCGGCGGGGGGCAGCTTGGACGAAGGGTACAGGAGGCAGGTGTAGAGCAGGGATTGCAGGGGAGTCTGCAAGGGAGAGAGAGAAGGGAGAGTTAGACATGGGAAATAAAAAGATATCTCAGTGCTGGAGACAGAAAAGATCAGACCAAAGTGGTGTAGGAGGGTTTGCCTCAGACAAATCACACAACCCAACGGAACCTCTTCCGTCAGACCCACGTCCACACTCAGCTGTGTCTTTCCATATCCAGGCGTCCCTGGGGCTCGGCTTAGGGACCCGGCTACCATTTGTGATCCATTCTATCAACAGCACGATCTGCCCACACCAGCAATGGTGAATGAGTTACTAAGCGAGGCGGGTTCTTTAGGATGAGATCTCCTGCACCAGTACATTGAGTTATCTCAACGGAATCTGACAGTCAGGTATGTGGCCTGGCCAGAAATTGCCTAGATGACACATACTTGCAGTCCTCGCTCTCCAGAAGGTTCCGGTACGTGGCGATCTCACACTCCAGCCGGGCCTTTGTGTCCAGCAGCACCTGGTACTCCTGGTTCTGCCGCTCCAGGTCGCAGCGGATCTCGGCCAGCTGCTCCTCCACGGTGCTGATCAGGCACTGCATCTGGGCCAGCTCCGTGCCAAAGCGGGCCTCGGCCTCGCACAGGGAGTTCTGCAGACAGTCTTTCTATAATGGGAAATAATGGGGGGAAAGTCCCAGGGGATGAAGAATTCAGCAGTGAAGATCACGGCTGAATTCACCAGGCAGGTGGCAAATTCCAAGAAGTCACAGGGCATTTCTAGAGCTCTGAAGAAATTACCATCAATGTGACCATGACTTTTTACACACACACACACACACACACACACACACACACACACACACACACAAAAGTCTAACTTGAACTGTCATGTTCCCCCTATGCCTCCAACACATGACATGAAGGAGACACCCAGCAAAATCTTGTGAAATGAGTGCCTGAACCTCCACACCTCGTTCTGAAGGAAGTGGAGTTAACGTGTAATAGGAACCATTTTTCTGGGTCAAACTAGCCTTAAAAGCAAGCCTTCTCCACCCAGGAGAGAGGAACCCAAATCAAGCTCAAACTTAATGTTTATAGGACTGAGTACGGAGACTTCTCAGATATGCTGTGACCAGGCCATGGCAGGGGCATTCACAGAGCCCTGCGGGTGCAGGAGGACTCATACCAGCTGGTGCTGGGCTTGGCGCTCCACCTCCAGGGCGTTCACCGTGCATCTCAGCTCCAGGATCTCCGACTGGCAGCACTGCAGCTCTTCAGAGCAGGACGAGGCCTGCAGGCTGATGCCTTCAGACTGAAGCACAGTGCACAGAGACATGATCACTGCCCTGCCCAGATGTCAGCCAGGCTCCCCCTGGCCCCTGCTCCGCAGCACCGCCTCACCTGAGCTTCGAACCACTGCTCCACGTCACGCCGGTTGGTCTCCACCATGGTCTCGTACTGGCACCGCATCTCCTCCAGCACCCTGCTCAGGTCCACGGTGGGCTCCGTGTCCAGCTCAATCCGGAGCCTGTCTCCCAGTTGGCACTTCAGAATGTTCACTTCCTGCAGGGACAGAAGAACCAACAGAAGAACCCCAAGTGAGAAAAGGGCTTTTGACAGAGCAGAAAGCACCTGAACCGCTCTCCTGACAAGCAGTATGAGGGGTGACTCCACATATACACTGATGTGAAAGGTCTTGCTGCCAGGGCCAATGAGAAGAACCCATCTGGAGACCTTCCTAAACTCATGAGGCAAATCTTTGGAGAAGAAACTCCCATCTACCACATCCCACAGAGTCAGCTTGACTCAAACCCAGATCAACCCATTATCCTAATGCCAATTGACTCCAATCCTAGAGCCACAGGATGAGAGGGGCTCCCTTTCCTGCCCAACACCCCACCACCATCACCACCACCACCACCACCATGAGTCTGCAGCCACAGGGCCAGACCTTCTCGTGGTTGCTCTTGAGGCAGAGCTGCTCCTCCTTCAGGGACTCCTGCTGGGCCTCCAGGTCAGCCTTGGCCAGGCTCAGGTCATCCAGGAGCTTGTGCATCCCACACATGTCCGCCTCCACCAGCAGGCGCAGGGAGTGCTCACTCTCGTGCCTTCCATCACAGGAGATGCAAGGTCAACAGATGTCAAGGAAAGCCCCTCTCACCTGATCCCGGTTCCCACCTTGGATGTTCATTTGCTCACCTGATCAACTATCACTGTGTTAGACTCTTAGCTACAGAGCCCAAACTGAGTCTCAGAAAGAATAGTAGATGTCTAGGATTATATACCTTGATTAATAGTAAATAAGGGACTCAACCTAAGTATTCAAACTTCAAATGCAGGATTCATGCTGCCATAGGTAAAAGAATGGCTTAAATATAAGCCTTCTGGACCTACAGTTTGCTACTTCACCCATTGGATTAATTATTTCTCATTGTTTTTCTCATTCATTCAATTGCAACTCTTAATACAAGAAGCTACAATGACAATTATTCCCACTAAATGGATTAGGCCAAGGGTTAGTGAGTCTGTCAGTGACCTATGCACTGAAAGTTTATTCTTGGAATGACTTGATTTGGCTTCAGGTTATAACACAAAACCCTCTTTTCTTCTAGATATGGGGAGAATATGACATAGGATCTAACCAATCTAGACCCTACCTCTTTTCTTGTTTTAATGTTTTTGTTCTCTTTCATCCCATATAATGACCATTTCTAGTAATAGGTTAAATTATGCTTTGGAGAGGAAGAAAGAGGACACTTATTCATTGATTCATTCATTATTCTCATCAACAACTATTTTTGAACACCTACTCTGGTGGACCAAGTACTCTGGTGGCCGCTTAGAAATAAAACAGGAGAAAGGAGTCACTCTTAGCCTGCTTCTGGCCTTACTTACTTGATCCTAAAGTCATCGGCAGCCAGCTTGGCGTTGTCAATCTGGCTAACCAGCCTGGCATTCTCAGCTTTGCTGCACAGGATCTAAGAAAAAACAGGAAGACCATTCACACACTAACATCACACTAGGCTCCAGATGTCTACCCTCCTGCTCAAGGAAACCCAAGAACTCTAAGCTCTTTGAGCCTTCAGTGGTTTTGCCTGCCATCGCCCTCTGCCTCCCTCAGGCCCAGCACACCCCAGGCTACTCCACACCCCACCTTCTGCTGGAGCTCCTCGATGGTCTGGAAGTAGCACTGGTAGTTGGGGCACATGGTGGTCTCATGGCATTTGCTCCACTCTCGGATCTTGGTCTCCAGCTCCGCGTTCTCCTGCTCCAGCTGCCGCACCTTCTGCAGGTAGTTGGCCAGGCGGTCGTTCAGGAACTGCATGGTCACCTTCTCATGGCCATTCAGGGTGCCTTCACCGTAGGCCCCACAGCTTCCGATGTTGGCAGGAATGTTGCGGGTTCCTGGCAAGGGGCAAGCATTGTGGCAGCTGTTGGGCAGACAGAGATTGGGTCGGCCCAGCGGGGTGGTCCCCACTCGAACTCGGTTGACATGTGCCAGGCTGGCCAGGAGGCCCTGGCAGGCAGCCTTTTCCTCTAAGCCAGGGTGGTACCCAATATCACCGGAGGAGGGGCAGACATTTCTTTCTCCAGGATTCAGGGTGCTGCCCAGAGGCTGGCTTGAGGTCATGTAGAAGGAAGTCATGGTGTGGGCTGATGCTACACAGGAGGTTCAGAGCAGCTGGAAAGGCCAAGACACGAGTCTGAGAACCCCCTTCCTTCCTGGGCCTTTTATACCCCATCCCAGGTGGGTGTTGGCTCAGTGCTTTGACCTCACTGCCTTGATTCTCGACCTGTTGTTGTACCGCCATCCTGTTACTCAGCTGTTGAGTTTACCACCAAGAGTTCCTCACCTCATTAAAGGAATGTTGATGATCTGAGGTGCCTCTTGCCTCTTTGATATCAAATTGTCTGTTTATGGAAGGTCAGAGTTTTATATTCCTACTCAGCCACCACCAACAGTTAATGCAGCCTCAGATGTCCTCACTCTGGGCTGGACGGTCTCCCTGTGGATGCGGCCACACTGAAGGATCTAATCTTTCAGTCAATGATTTGTGTAGCAGGAGAGACAGCAAATCTATAAGATCCAGTGGCTCTCCCACCTGTGGTTGGACTCAACCGAACTTTCCTTTCAAGAAAAATGCCATTGTATAAAACTAGCAAGTCTACTGATATTTGAATATTGGGTGGTTCTCATTTCTTCTTTTTTCTTTTCTCTTTTAAATTGCATACTCCCCTGGAGAAGCAACAAAACATCAATGCACTACGAAACATTGCTGCTAATTCAGTTTTAGTTGACTAGTCCACATCCACATTCATTCATTCATTCACTTGTTCAGCATGTTTCCTGAACACCCCCATAACTCAGGTGGTGTGCTGTGTCCAGGACACACAGTGGTCCCTGTTCTTCAGGAGAAAACAGTGTCACTGAAATCGTAGGGTCTTAAACTTGAATGAGAATCATAGATTAATGAGAGTTAGTGAAAGAAAATTCATCATCCTGACCACAGGTGTATCTAGAGAAAAACTACTAACAAAAAACAATAATCTTATTTAATCCAGAAAAGGTAAATTGGGCAACAGAGCTCAAAGGATGTTGAGACAAAAGTTCAAGAACTAACATTTAGAGAGGATACAGGTAAGCTAGCTATTCTACTATATTCTTTCCTATTGAGTCCTTCCCACTTGTGAGGTGGCTGTTCTTAGCTTTGATGAGGAAACTAGAATAAAGTTCATTTTTGATTCACAGAGCTGATAAACTGGCAAGGGCTAGATTCCATCTCATATCTGTAGAGCCCATTCTCTCTCAACCTCACCACAGCCCCCAGGAGGAACAACCTGTACTGCTTCCCAGGTCATTGCTTGGGAAAGTGTACAAGGCTTAATTATTAGACAGGAAGTTGGAGTGAAAAACAATATTATTGAGGGACCTTGTATTCCGGCACAGAGATACTGAGGCAGGGAGGACAATAAAATGCACATAGAAAAAGTTATACTTAAATATGAGAATCTGTAACATATCTCGGATCCCAAAGAGTTTCAACAAAGCTGAGGGGCCATTGCGACCAACTTCTGTGGGGCCAGGCATTGCCCCTCCAAAGTGACCAAGGAAAAGTAGAGGGACCTAAAGACTGAGGAAGATTGAATGGGATATTCCTAAAAGAGCATAAATAGGTCTCTTCTCTGAGCGAAGTTCGGGAACAAGGATCCCCATTGAAACCCAAATGGGAGGCAGTGAGTGTGAGGATTGGTGAGACCTAGGTTCTTGGAATTCTCTCAAGAAGAAATAAAATAAAGAGAACTGCAATTCTTCCCCAAAGGAAAACTGCTCTGGGTCAGCTGAGCCTCTCCCAGCTACCCTGAGGTCATCGATGAAGAATTCTCTGCTGAGGCAGTCCTTAGAAGACCTCTCCCAGTCAGGTTGTCCTTCAGAGGCCTCGGAGCACAATCTGCATATGTTCATCTTCAAACACCTTTTTGTTTCTCTCTTCCGTGTCATCATAGCATCACTGTAATCCAGAGAATTGGACCATTAAAATGGTTTCCTTTGATTTGCTAAATAGGCTCCATCTTTTGACCCTATCCCCAGGCAGGATTTGTCCCATTGATGAACATCTCACTTCCTTCCATCTCTGAACACACTTCTAGGCATCAGAGCTGAAGTTTGCATCCCTGGCTGACACCCCTCTCCGAAGCTGGATTTTGTGCCCCCTCTCCCCCCATGTGGGCTCTGTAAGGTTTGTGTTGCATAGCAGCATTGATGCTGCCTGCTCCTCTGTAGAGCAGTGGATTCTGCTGCTTATCTTTTGTCTCAAAGGAACTGGAAGTAAGTGGACAGCGTGAGGCGGGTGTTTGAGATACACTCGGCTGTGTAGGTGAGGAGGATCCCACCTGGACACAGTAGACTGCCCTGTTCACTCCCCTGTGAAAACAGGCCCCAGTGCCTGAGTACAACATATGTGAGCCGGGTAACATGAAGGGAGGTGCTGGCGATGAAGAGCCAAGAGAAAAGTAGTCCTGCAGCCCTCCTTCATCCACAGGGGCCACCTCTGTCTTCTCTCTTCAGGGGTAAAGTTTTTCGAGCTACCATCTATCTTCAGGGGGCGGTGGGCCACTGGGTACAGAATAGCATCATTCAATGCCATGGCGTTGGGGCCATTCTGATGCATCTCTGAGTGAGAGCAAAGCAGTGGAGTTGGAGCAGCCCACAGGGCTTGGGTCTCACCTGCAGCTACCTTGTCTATTGCAGGAGGGAGACTCTGAAGATACCTAAGCAAATGCGTACTGTCCACAGGCAGCACCCACTGTGTGTTACACCAGAAGGAAGTTTGCTTCTGGTAAAGATCAGAGTTGGTGGGAGGACACCTGAGGGACCTCTGATTTCAAAAGTCCGTCTTGAGAGGCTTTGAAACGGAGGAAAAGTCACCATTTTCTTTTCTCTTGCATGTGATTTGTTTTAATGGACAGGGCTGTGTTTTTATTGTAGCTAGCGTCATAGTTCATGACTTTGTTTTCTTTTTTTTCTGTATTGATTAAGGTATTACATATGTGTCCTTATACCCCATTACCCCCCCTTCCCACCCCCGCTCATGCCCTCACCCACCCTAGTGTCTGTGACTATTGGTTATGCTTATATGCATGCATGCAAGTCCTTTGGTTGATCTCTCCCACTTCCCCCCACCCTCCCCTGCCTTCTCTCTGAGGTTTGACGGTCTGATCGGTGCTTCTCTGTCTCTGGATGGGATTTTATACCTGTTACTTGAGCATCTTTAATTTGATTTTAAGGGTTTTTAACATTATTATTCTGCTTTATTTTTGTCCCAGGTCTTCAGTTCATCAGAGACTGATCAATATGAAAATAATTCTCTTCACTTCTGCCCCACCCCCCCACATCCCAGGTTCCTTTATCTACATTCTAGCACAGGGCACTTGCTTTAATATTTATCTGCTACTAGAACCCATTACACAGAATTTTAAGGCAGCATAGCAGAGTGGTTAAGGCCAGGAACTATGGAGCCAGCCTGCTTGGATTCAAATTCTGCTTCTTCCATGTACCAGCTGTATGAACGGGGCCTGGTGACTTGACCTCTCTATGCCGTGGTTTCTGCATGTGAAAAACGGAAGCAGCAATAGCACCCAGGTCATCGATCTGTTTAAGTATTAAAGAAGTTGATATCTATAAATCATCTATAATAATAAAAGGGTAATATGCTAATTAGACCAGACGTCCTTCTGGACATCATTCCAGACGTCCTTCTGGATGAAGCCAAGGCCAGAGCGAAGCTGCCCTGGTCCCGGGTGCCGGAGGGAAACCAGTGCCAGCAGCCGGGGGAAGGAAGGCCTACTCTTGCATGAATTTTCGTGCATCAGGCCTCTAGTTTAAAATAATGTCTGGCAGGAAGCACTCAACAAGTGTTAGCTGTTACTTTTTTTCAGATGGCCTTTAATCATGGTTTAAATGTTCACATCATTTGTAATTCAAAAATGCTTATTAAATTACCATTTTGTACCTATTTAAGTTAGCAAAGATCAAAAAGGGGGGAAATAGGGGACATCTGTAATAGTGTCAACCATAAATTTTTAAAAAGGTTAATGTCACAATGTTGGCACCGTCACATACTATGGCGTCATACAACCTCTTTGCAAGGCAGATCAGAAATGTCTATTAAAAGTACAGCTGTGCATACCCTCTGACCCAGTTATTCCACTTCCGGGAATTTATGCTGCAGACACACTTACATGGACACGTGTCCAAGGGTAATAAGGATATTCATGGCAACAGCTTGGGAGTCACAGCAGACCAGGAAGAAACAAAGTGCCCACCCACAGGAGCCTGGTTAATGAGTTGTTCATCCATGTAGGAAAAGGCTTACAGCCATTACAAATAATGAGGTAGATCTATAGATGCTGACATAGAAATGACACCTACAGTATAAGAGTAAATGAGAAAAAATAATCCAAGATACCTAGCATGCTACGTTTTATAATTACCAAAAGGGACATCTATGTAGACATAAATTTACAGCAAGACTGAATCTCAGACCATAAAGTCGGGTGTGAAAAATATATAGCTTTTCTGATACTTTAACTAAATTACACTATTAATCTTCATCTCTCACTATGCCAAAGGGCAGAACCTTCATCTCAGTTATCTTAAGTAGCCTTTCCCAAGGGGTGGCCCCAAGTTCCAGAGGCCTCTTTTCCATGGTGTTGGGGCTGAGGAGGAAGGCAGTGGTGTGTCCTCTGCGTTTTCATTCATCCACACTGCAGCCCAGGTGGCCCACTTGCGTCCTTCTGCCTAGAGCTTGGTTGTCAGAACTCCAGGTGCTGCCAGATCATCCTCATCCTCATCCACAGTCCCCTGGAGCTCGCAGGACCCCCTCTGTACATCTCTGCTGCTCTCCGACACAGACGATCGCTTTTAGCTGCTATGTCACCCTCGGCCTCAGGATTCTTTGTGAAGGTTCTACTTCCCAGACTCCCCTGGGGTCTTGGTGCCTCTCCAGATTCCAAGTGGGGAAGGGAGAACAGGTCCCCTCTGCTCCTAAATCCCCAAGCCTAACTAGGGTATCTATTATGCCCCTGCCCTTGACTCCCCATCCCAGCCTGGAAGAAGGGGTCAGACCAGCAGAGGACCTACCAGCATCTCAGTTCTCTTCTCTTCCCTGCCTCTTCATCCCCTGATCCCAACATGCCTTCATCTAACCAGAGAGCAGGACACATGACCTTCCTCGTATCAGACAAGTCCATGCTCTTGTCCTCTCAGGGCTTGGTCTTTGAACCTCAAAAGCCTCTTCCCTTCCTTCTCTATGCCATCCCTTCCCCGAATCATTAAATGTGGCTAAGGCTATAGCTTTTGTTAGCAGGGCCCTGTGTTTCAGAGAGAATACCATGAGCCGCATCTATCTGAACATCAAAATATTCCCCACCTTGCCTGGCTATTGTGGCTCAGTGGTTAAGCATCAGCCTATGAACTGGGAGGTCAGTGTGATTCCTGGTATGGGCACATGCCTGGGTTGTGGGCTTGATCTCCATTGGGGAGGGGGGCATGTGGGAGGTAGCCAATCAATGATTCTCTCTCATCATTGGTGTTTCTATCCCTTTCTTCCTCTCCCTTCCTCTCTGAAATCAATTTTATATATATTTTAATATCCACCACCTCTCTCGTGTGTGTACAGAAGCTAACTTGAGGAGGAGGATTATTTGCACATGGTAGCCTTTTGTTATGTCTCGAGTTTTTACAGTATTTGTGTTCTGCTTGTAGAACTTTGTGAGTTATTTTTCTAAGAGGCCTTGTATAAACAGAAAATGCTTGGTGTTTTGTTAGCATCTGGATACCCTTGGGCTCCTTTTCCCATTTCAGGAACCTGACTTTTGTGCTGAATCAGTTGGGTTACAATGCTGTTCTGCCCAGTGTTCAGAGACACTTTGCCCTTCACACCCTTCACTTTGAGTGATGATCCTGGCTGATGAGGTCCCTGGGGTGCTGGACCAGGAACCACCTCTGCTGTCTTGTGTCCCCATAAGCCTCTGGATGTCACTCGTCCATTACTCTGGGTTTCTCAGGGACCATTTCCTGTGGGTGTTAAGCCAATAAAACTCTCACTGACCTGGCTGGAGATAGTCCTGGGGCAAAGGTGCATTCAATGGAAAGGAGAAAAATAGACTATGGGAACTTGGAGGGTGAATGATTTAGGAAGTTGGGGAAAAATGAGCTGAATAAGTCACTATAGAAGTATTTATTTGGCCCACTTCACAAATTTTGTGCAGGAAAAATAGGGAAAAATGGAAAAGTTGGCTTCATTTTGCATATGAAAAATCTATTATTAAATACTCTGATTTCTGAAGGTCAGGTCTATCCCTAAGAGTTCGTATTTCTCAGTTCAAGAGTAGCCTTGAATCTTCCTCCAGCTTTACTTGGTATTTGGTCAGTTCTTCTTCTCCACTCACACTGAGTCCCTCGTTTACCTTGAATATAGCCCCCCCATGGTGTACTCTGCTGTCAGTTTACGTGGAAGATCCTTAGAAGCAGGGATTTCCATCTTATTCCTTTTGTCTTGTTCACCTCTGTAATACTCAGCATAGCACCTGACACACAGTAAATGCTCAATCAGTGAAAAGATGAAAGAAATAACCAAATGAGCTCAGCTATGGAGCAAATCAGACTCAGTATTAACATCCACAGTGCCTGGTGCATGATGATGCTCAATAAATGTGCAATGAATGAATGAATGAATGAAGAGACATATAAAGCCAGACAACAGCATGTTATGCCAAGGAAAGAAAATCCTGGACTTCTAAACCCTGTGGTCCTAAAGCAAATCAGGATAAGATTTGTTTTCATTTAGGATCTCATATATATAAAAGCCTAAGCGACCATTTGACCGGTAGCTATGATGTCTGACCACCAGGTGGCAGACACTCAATGCACAAGCGTGAAAACGTGGAACAGACTGATGAATCTCAGAGGGAATGGGGAGGCCAGCAGGCAGAAAGAGATTAACCAAAGATCTTATATGCATACTTTTTTTTTTTAAGGATGTAGACAGCAGTGAGCTGGGGTGCAGACCAGCTGGTCCAGAGAACTGACTAATCCACTGTTCTGTGAGGTTTGTGCTCAGTAAATCCACATCTAGCCACTTTCCAAATTGCACTGTGTCGGTGACCCTAAGTGTGAGAAACAGGGGCAACCAAGGCTTACATTGCAGGGTGTCCCTTTAAAAGGCAGAGTCACCAAAAGAACAGAGAATAAAGATGCGAGCTCTAGGACACAATTGCTTTGCAGCCAGAGAAATCTAGGTCCAAGTCCTGGCTCAGCCTTAGTCAAGTTATTGAACTCCTGTGAACCCCACTGCTTCATAAGTTTAAGGGGCTCATAATGTGCGCCTTTCTGAATGTGAGAGAACGACATTCAGTTCTCAGGGAGAAGAGATGGCATTTAACACCAGCAGGAGGAAACCACCGCTACGTAAAGCTCCAGTTAAAATTGTGTGGTTAGGGTTCAGTGTTTATTTTAACAATCATAGGAAGAGAGCAGAGCAGGCTCTGTGTGATGTCGCTGCTGCTGTCCATGGTGAGGACGGAAGCCCACCAGGTGTAGGTGGGAGACTGGAGCTGGGCTGAAGCAGGAGACGGGAGCTTTCCCGACAGGCAGCGCCTTCAAGGTGGGTACACACACAACAGTCTCTTCTCAGGAAGATGTCAACCCTGCAGAGGGAGCTTTTTAAAGCTCGATCACTGGGGTAGGAAGGGGGACAAGCCAGATCCTGCCCCTTAACACCGCCCAGTCAATCAACCTCAGACAAAATGACTTAATGACACAAGAGGTTCTTCCAGAAGGACATTCTCACCATGGGCCACATTCAGCGCTGGACGCTGTGGGCCCAAATGCAAACAGGCAGTTCCTTCCCATGAAGACAAGGTTGCCTTGAACCAGGCCGGCCTTGACTCTGACTTTGGTGGCAGTGTCACTCCTCTGTGTCTCCACGTCGCCTTTTCTCTTAAAGAGCCACAAGGTAGGATGTGCCATGAGGCTGAGATGAGCGATTTTTTCCAACCATCTGGCAACCACATGTAGAAATCAGGACTGCAAACATATAATCCACATCCCCCCAAAACAAAGTTCTGCAGAAGTCATCAGTGACCCTTGGTGTCACTGATTCCTGAGTGTCTCCCCATCACTTTAACCCTGGTGGGTCCAATAGGGGAAAAGAAGACAAGACCACCCACAAAACGGGCTCCCCTCTCCTTGGATGAACTCGGTATAAGGGGGTTGCTAAGAAGGCTCTGCCCCTCAAAGCAAAGGTTCCTTATTCTTTGGACAAATGCAAATATAATTTGTTCCGGAAAGCAAGTGATTCAGTATATCATTTTGTTTCTGGTTGCATTTAGCTGCTAAAGGAACTTTCTTTTAACTGCCTCAAGGAAAAGGCTGAAGGCCCGGGGTGAGCTTTGAACCTGACCCGTCTGCCTCAGGACCCACACTCCTAGTCATGGTATGATATTGGTTCTGGAGGAGGTTTATATGGTGCTTCCTCCCTTGCAGGGTGTTTTAATTCTGCCATCTCACTTAGGGTCCGTGACAGATCTAAGACGTAAGTAGGAAAGGTCACATTAGCCCCATTTTATAGCAGGAACAAAACACTGAGGCTCCGGCAATTCTCAAGCCCCATTGCGAGTCAATGATAAAATCAGGTCTAGACACATTCATTCTTTCCACAGATGTTTATTGAGCATCTGCTCTGTGCCAGGTGGTGGCCTAGGCTGTGGGGAAGCAGCAGTAGACAAATTCTAATCTCAAGGAAGCATTTTAATGAGAAAATAATAGGCAAGTAAGCAAATTGAGCTGTTGAGAGATACTCAGATGAAAATAAACAGGACAGACAGTGAGGAGGTGAGTACCGAAGACTGATGATCAAGCAGGATCTTTCAGAGGGAGTGATGTTTCAGCTGAGACCTGAATAACCAGGAAGAGGGGGACAGCATTCCAACGAGGAGGAAGAGCAGGGACAGGTCTCCTAGCATGTCCCGCACAGAAAGGCCACCGTGGCTGGATTGTGGTGAGGACGGGGAAGAGTGGGAGACAAGAGCGGAAGCATAGGAAGTAAGCAAACATAAATGTGTTGAAGATACTGTCATGATCTATTTTTCCATTACCCCGAAACCCTTGTGGCCAGCAGTCCTCTCCTGTTGAATCGGTAGGTTTTAATACCTCAGGGGGACGTGCTAGAAAAAATTAAGTCACTGTTGAAATTTTACTGTAAAATTAGATGAAGCCAGACAATAGTTGTGAGAGGCAGTATTTATAGAGAAGAGAGATTTCTTAATGTGAAAGGTCCCTTGACATAGCAAGAGGCGAGCCTGGCCCTTTGTCAAAGACAGGGATCCTGAGTGGAGAGAACTCAGATTTGTTGCAAGGAGGTTCCCCCCTGACCTAGGGAGGAAGTGGAACCAGCTTCCTTCGCAGGGAGGAGGAAGTGGGAGAGGAAGTGATCAAATATACAGTTTCTAGTCCCATATTTCCCTCTGGGATCATTATCCGGGCCTGGAGATGTTAGAAATAGTCAATTTGGGGGAATCCTAAACAGTGACATTTGTTCCTCACTTCCCTGGTCACAAACGAAGTAAGTTTAGTGGGTAAATTTTTCAAGTTAACATCGGTGTCCTTGAAACACAACTTCAAGTCATGCCCTAGACCAGTGATGGCGAACCTATGACACTCATTTTTTTGGTTGATTTTTCTTTGTTAAATGGCATTTAAAGATATAAAATAAATATCAAAAATATAAATCTTTGTTTTACTATGGTTGCAAATATCAAAAAATTTCTATATGTGACACGGCACCAGAGTTAAGTGAGGGTTTTTCAAAATGCTGACACGCCGAGCTCAAAAGGTTCACTATCACTGCCCTAGACTCAGCCCGAATGATTCTTCCATCGGATCCCATCCCTGAGTGTCTCCAGGTGGATACTCTGAGCCACCACTGGTCATCGGGACCCAGCCAGGGAGGTGTGGAGCCCTCTGGGAAAATCAGGAGCTGGGAGGGATGGCTCCCCATCGAGATCCCACTTTTCCTGGTAGGTTTGGACAGGCCTATGCATGCGGAAAGTCAGTGATAGTTAGAAGCCAGATTTCCGAAATGTCTAATGAGCATTGCTATGTGGGTATCCCCTTGCTTTAGCCGCCTCCGCTGGTCCACAGACATTCAGAACCGGCTCCCAGTGCTGGCTGCACGGGCTGAGCCAGGCCCATAAGTGGTGCAGGGGGCACAGCTCGGGCGAGGAGCACAGGCGGGAGGCACACAGGCAGCAGACGTGGAGCAGGGATTGCAGGGGAGTCTGCAGAGAGATGGAAAAGGCGAGCAAGGTTAGGGGTGGAAATTAACAGAAGGCTCACTGCTACATGTGTGTGTGGAGCATGACAAAGGGCTCCTCACTCCCAAATCACAGGACCTGATGCAACTGAAGCCCTCTGCCCACTGACACCTAGTTTGCACCTCTGGAGTTTGACCGGGCGATCTCTCCAATGCCTGCCAGAATCAAGGTTTTGTACAGGAGAGTTGGGTTCTATCCCACGGGGTATAACATACTGGGAAAGATGTTAAAAAGGAAAAGCAAGTCCAAAAAACCAGCTGGATCAAATCTATGACAAGAGACCTGGTAGATGGCAGCCTCCTCTGAAGGGACAGTCAGTCCCTGCACACTCACTCCCTCTGACACAGAGTGTGTGCAGCACCGTCAGTGGTGGCTCCACAGGTGCACGGAGAGCCTTGTGCTATGAAGACTGCCCTTCTGTTACCCAGAGGAGCTTCTGAGAAACGACTGAATGACTCAGCCAGGAATTGCCTAGATGACACGTACTTGCAGTCCTCGCTTTCCAGAAGGTTCCGGTACGTGGCGATCTCACACTCCAGCCGGGCCTTTGTGTCCAGCAGCACCTGGTACTCCTGGTTCTGCCGCTCCAGGTCGCAGCGGATCTCGGCCAGCTGCTCCTCCACGGTGCTGATCAGGCACTGCATCTGGGCCAGCTCGGTGCCGAAACGGGCCTCGGCCTCGCACAGGGAGTTCTGCAGACAGTCTTTCTATAATGGGACATAATGGGGGGGAAGTCCCAGGGGATGAAGAATTCAGCAGTGACGATCACGGCTGAATTCACCAGGCAGGTGGCAAATTCCAAGAAGTCACAGGGCATTTCTAGAGCTCTGAAGAAATTGCCATCAATGTGACCATGACTTTTTACACACACACACACACACACACACACACACACACACACACACACAAAAGTCTAACTTGAACTGTCATGTTCCGCCTATGCCTCCAACACATGACATGAAGGAGACACCCAGCAAAATCTTGTGAAATGAGTGCCTGAACCTCCACACCTCGTTCTGAAGGAAGTGGAGTTAACGTGTAATAGGAACCATTTTTCTGGGTCGAACTAACCTTAAAAGCAAGCCTTCTCCACCCAGGAGAGAGGAACCCAAATCAAGCTCAAACATAATGTTTATAGAACTGAGTAGGGAGACTTCTCAGATATGCTGTGACCAGGCCGTGGCAGGGGCATTCGCAGTGCCCTGCAGGAGGACTCATACCAGCTGGTGCTGGGCTTGGCGCTCCACCTCCAGGGCGTTCACCGTGCATCTCAGCTCCAGGATCTCCGACTGGCAGCACTGCAGCTCTTCAGAGCAGGACGAGGCCTGCAGGCTGATGCCTTCAGACTGAAGCACAGTGCACAGAGACGTGATCACTGCCCTGCCCAGATGGCAGCCAGGCTCCCCCTGCCCCCTGCTCCGCAGCACCGCCTCACCTGAGCTTCGAACCACTGCTTCACGTCACACCGATTGGTCTCCACCATGGTCTCGTACTGGCACCGCATCTCCTCCAGCACCCTGCTCAGGTCCACGGTGGGCTCCGTGTCCAGCTCAATCCGGAGCCTGTCTCCCAGTTGGCACTTCAGAATGTTCACTTCCTGCAGGGACAGAAGAACCAACAGAAGAACCCCAAGTGAGAAAAGGGCTTTCGCTCTCCTGACAAGCAGTATGAGGGGTGACTCCACATACACACTGATGTGAAAGGTCTTGCTGCCAGGGCCAATGAGAAGAACCCATGTGGAGACCTTCCTAAACTCATGAGGCAAATCTTTGGAGAAGAAACTCCCATCTACCACATCCCACAGAGTCAGCTTGACTCAAACCCAGATCAACCCATTATCCTGATGCCAATTGACTCCAATCCTAGAGCCACAGGATGAGAGGGGCTCCCTTTCCTGCCCAACACCCCACCACCACCTCCACCACCACCACCACCACCATGAGTCTGCAGCCACAGGGCCAGACCTTCTCGTGGTTGCTCTTGAGGCAGAGCTGCTCCTCCTTCAGGGACTCCTGCTGGGCCTCCAGGTCGGCCTTGGCCAGGCTCAGGTCATCCAGGAGCTTGTGCATCCCACACATGTCCGCCTCCACCAGCAGGCGCAGGGAGTGCTCACTCTCGTGCCTTCCATCACAGGAGATGCAAGGTCAACAGATGTCAAGGAAAGCCCCTCTCACCTGACCCGAGGTCCCACCCCCTGAGCACCGTGGATCCTCATTTGCTCACTGTGCCCAGTCTCTGGCCTCAGAGAAGAATTAGACACATCCCCTCCTCTCAAAGGATTCGTGGTCTAGGGAAGCAGTCATATTTTTACCATTGTGCATTGAAGCAACTGTGGTTCAGAAAGTTAACTGACTTGCCTAAGAATATGTGTCTTAGGACCCAGTACAGGGCTCGGGCCATTTCACGGGCTGTTGTTAAGAAGGAGAAGCAACAGCAGGAGCTTGGACCTTGATTTGCTCCCTTATTCTTTGTGTTGTGCGACTTGTTCATCTCTCTCCTTTATTGAGAGGAAATGCCTGGTGGCTGAGGGCTTCATCGCTAAATCTGGACACTGACCCCTCCGTAAGTGGCTCTTCCAACTGATATGTGAAATTCAATAGCTTTCCATATTCTGTTTATTCTTGAAATCACTCTATTTTGATTTTAAGTAATGAGCTCAGGCATCTTTATCTTACATTTTAGGGAAATATATGACCTAGGACTAACATGAGGCTATGCCATACATGCTTGACTTAATGGTGTTGTTTCTTCTCTACCTTCTTTCTATTACTTGTTTTTAATTTGGGAATTTAGGAAGAAAGAAACAGAACAGTAATTCCCTCACTCAACAAATGCTTGGACATTTGGGATTTAGGTGGAGGAAGGAGTCACTCTGGGCCTTCTTAGACTCTTACTTACTTGATCCTAAAGTCATCGGCAGCCAGCTTGGCGTTGTCAATCTGGCTAACCAGCCTGGCATTCTCAGCTTTGCTGCACAGGATCTAAGAAAAAACCAGGAAGACCATTCACACACTAACGTCACACTGGGCTCTAGCCCTATGTGTGGTGTCTACCCTCCTGCTCAAGGAAACCCAAGAACTCTAAGCTCTTTGAGCCTTCAGTGGTTTTGCCTGCCATCGCCCTCTGCCTCCCTCAGGCCCAGCACACCCCAGGCTACTCCACACCCCACCTTCTGCTGGAGCTCCTCGATGGTCTGGAAGTAGCACTGGTAGTTGGGGCACATGGTGGTCTCATGGCATTTGCTCCACTCTCGGATCTTGGTCTCCAGCTCCGCGTTCTCCTGCTCCAGCTGCCGCACCTTCTGCAGGTAGTTGGCCAGGCGGTCGTTCAGGAACTGCATGGTCACCTTCTCATGGCCGTTCAGGGTGCCTTCACCGTAGGCCCCACAGCTTCCGATGTTGGCAGGAATGTTGCGGGTTCCTGGCAAGGGGCAAGCATTGTGGCAGCTGTTGGGCAGACAGAGATTGGGTCGGCCCAGCGGGGTGGTCCCCACTCGAACTCGGTTGACATGTGCCAGGCTGGCCAGGAGGCCCTGGCAGGCAGCCTTTTCCTCTAAGCCAGGGTGGTACCCAATATCACCGGAGGAGGGGCAGACATTTCTTTCTCCAGGATTCAGGGTGCTGCCCAGAGGCTGGCTTGAGGTCATGTAGAAGGAAGTCATGGTGTGGGCTGATGCTACACAGGAGGTTCAGAGCAGCTGGAAAGGCCAAGACACGAGTCTGAGAACCCCCTTCCTTCCTGGGCCTTTTATACCATATCCCAGTGGGTGTTGGCTCAGTGCTTTGACCTCACTGCCTTGATTCTCGACCTATTGTTGTACCGCCATCCTGTTACTCAGCTGTTGAGTTTACCACCAAGAGTTCCTCACCTCATTAAAGGGATGCTGATGATCCGAGGTGCCTCTTGGCTCTGATATCAGGTTGTCTGTTGGTGGGAGGACAGGGAAGCTTTTATTATTTTTCAAAGAACAAAAGTGCTCTTAGCCATTGGATGTTTATACCTTGATGGGGGTTGGCCTCCTTGTTGATTTGCCCACTCTAAGGCATGACTGTTACTGTGGGTCATTGGAGTAGCTGGAGAGACAGACCCCTGTGACTGCAGTGGCACTCTCTGGGTTTACAGTCAACCAGCCTTCCCTATACTGGTTATGATTTGGGTTACTAATAAGTTCTACATTTCTTTTTTCTTCAGTTGTTTGCCTTTCAGACTCACTCAAGGGGTAAAAAATTGCCATAAGTCTATTCATTCAGCATACATCTCCCAGCCCATCCTACATTCAGGGCTCAGTGCCACACATCTGATGTAAAGTCCATCAGGAAACAACCACAACTCAGACAGCCATAGGTGTCTGAGAGGCTCATCAGTATCAGAGTGACCCTGAAAACCATTTAATCTGAACCAAGAAAAGTGAGCTCAAGAAGCCAGAAACAAACAAAAATGAGAATAATCTTTTTAATCCCAAATAAGAATTATCAAAGTCATGATGGGTCCTCTTACTTCCTTGATTCTAAAGTCTGTTATCAAGCACCTACTGTATATGTTAGAGGATTGATCAATGCTATTGTTTAATCCTTCTTACCATCCTGCGAGGTGTGTATTATTATTTTAATTTTAGAAAAGAAAGAAAGAAATAGACACTGAGGACCAGGGATGTGAAGTCATTTTTCTAAGATCAACTCCATCATGAAATGACAAAGCCTGATCTCAATATCAGTTTCTTTTGACTCCAGAGCCTATCCTTGTTCTCTTCAACTTGACCACCAGCCCATCCCCCACATTCCCACCACCATCCCAACAGAACAACTGTGTCATTGCCAAAACTAAGAAGGATTAAAAGGCCTACAAACTGGGCAAGAAGTTGAAATGAAGAGATAAAACAAGAATCTGAGATTCTATGTTATTCCTCTTCGTGTCTCAGAAAATACAGTTGTTGTGGTACCAAAGCAATATGGCAGGGTTTCTCCAAGGACCATGCCAGAAGATGCCGGGAGAAAGTTCTAGCACATCCTACTGGCTCTTGGTACTGGGGAACCAAGTTAGCTGACTGTTGAGGTCCAGAAAGTCTTCTCAAAATTTGTGGCAGGAGGTAGATAGGGCCCTAAGACTGAACAACACCTAATGTGGAGTAAGACCCGCCTACAAAGTGGTTATAACAAGATCTTTGAAAAAAATGAGTATTTGCCAGTGCTTTGAGCACTGAGCAAAACTGAACAGACATCTCTGAATGAACCAGCTATGTGTATGTGAAACATAGGCTATTGGAGTTCTATCGAGAAGAAATACAGAATTTGAGAATTCTGTTCAAGTTGGGTTTTCAAGGAAAGGCCTAGGGTTACTCGGAACTCATCAATGAATAGCCCTTTGCAGACACCATAATTAGAAGTCATTACCAGGTTAGGCCATCCCCTCCTTCAGAGGTTTCTGCGTGCAATCTGCATAGGTTACATCTTCAGACACCTCTTTGCTGCTCTCTTCCACCTCATCACATAGCAACAATCTTCTCTGTGAGCTAGAGAACTTGACTTTTAAAGTTATTTCTTTTGAGTTGCTAAATAGAATTCATCTTTTGACCTTATTCTCTGGCAAGATTCATTCATTGGCTAAAGTCCGCGATTTCTTCCATCTCAACATAAATACTTTACAACATCACTGTTGAAGCTTTATATGTTTGGATGATGCTTCTCTTCATTTAAGCTCATTATCATCCTGGCTTGGGCTTCTATTGAGTATGCTGTTTTGCATAATGACACTGGTGTTGCATGTTCCTTTGTAAAATTGCTTGTTTCTACTGATTTGCATTTTTCTGAAAGGAGGTGAATGTGGGGTGAGGATCCTTGCCCTCATACCTAAAACTGCCTTCCTTCCTAACTCTTGGTCCTTGGTGAACATATATGAACCAGGTTCTGTGACAAGGAGTGGAGAGGCAGAGGGAGAGATGGAGGGGACCCTTTAGCCCTCCTTTACTCACCTGTATGCACGAGTTCTTTGGGCTGATTCTGACTTTAGAAATACTGGTCTCCAGAGGCAGGAAGTCTACTACAAATAGAAGCAGGGAGCGGTGGTCTTGAGATGCTATTTTCAAACATGGTGTTTTGCCTATTGATGTATCTCAACCAGTGGGAGAGGAAGGTGTGGAGTTGCAGGCTGGCAGCTGAAAATTGCGCCTGACCCACAGCCTACCTGCAGGAAGATGCATGGGAGCATCCAGGGGTTTGTGCCCTGTGTGGGAACATGACCCGTCATCACACATTGCAGTGGGTGCAAAGATTGAAGACAACTCCTGTGTGTAGAGCCTCCTACTGCAATGTCTCCTAGGTGTTAGGAAATGGTGGCAAAGAAAATCAGAGGTCAAGAAAAACATACTCTTTTTTTCTTTTTTATTGTTTAAAGTACTAAGAGGCTGAGCATATCATTTTATTATTCTAGTTATGCAACTCTTGAAGCTTTGATGAGTGAAATAGGCACATTTTCTTACAAATTAGATAGAATTTACCATCTGATTTCTTAGTCCAGCCCCATGATCCACAAAGTTTATTCACTATCAGTGTTATTTTCCCACCTACCATGACATATTCTAGACACCAGGGGTGCATCTAGAAAAGACACAGTCCCTGTCTTAGAGTGGGGGAGACACTTATGACAAAGCTCCACTCTGGGCCCTCACGCTGAGGTCTTTAGACTTGTCACCATCTTCCTTCCCATTACCCTGTTGATGGCCCAAGAGCAGAACATAGTTTAAACTAGTCTTCCTTTGCAACTATCTAGAAAAAGCACTCCTGTTTGTTTGTTTTTTTCTTTCCTCTTATACTGACGATACTCCTGACACTAGATGTATGGGCTTTCCACACACCAAGCAATTCTCTGTGACTCCACCTGAATGTCCTATAATTCTAGCATTATATGCCTGGAGCTAGTGTCAGATTCTACAAGGTAAGGGCTCAGTCCCACAAAACTGTCCAGGCTGGACTAGCCATGAGCCAGAGGCTCTGGGAAGATGGCTACTAAATTGGCGGCTCCCTTGTGGGTGGGCCCCAGTAGGGCTGGAGGGTGGGTAGCTCCTGGGCACGGAGTTCACGGAGTTCCTGGGGCAGCTGCTTGCCACAGCCTGCCTGGAGCTAGGAGCCTTCACACCGACTTCCCAAAGCTTGAAGAGCAGCAGTTGCTACAGCTAGAAGCCATGGCCCTAGAAAGCTGAGTCTCAGGGTTGTTACTAGGGCCAAACACCCAAGTGTGAGAGTGCTCCCCTGCCCGGACCTTTCATCTCCCCCCTGGGGTGCAGGTGCAACCTGCAAGCTTCCCCCAGGATGTCCTCATGTCCACTCCCATCAGAACAGCCATCAGTCAGCTACTCGGTCTCCATAAGTAGCCCCCCACCTCGTACAAGGGAGAGGTAACTGCCTTTGGATCCCTTGGTACTGCCCTCTGCTGCTCACAGGGATCTTTCATGTTATCTCTTTAATGGCACCCTATTGAGGAGTTCTGCTCATCGGGCGTCTCTCTGGAGTGGTGCTCTCCAAGAAGGAGAGTTCACTGAGTGTGAGGTCCTCTAGCCTCAGGACAGGAGCCCCAGAGAGACTGGCGTAGAATGGAAGGGTGCTAAGGTGTTCGAACTAAACTCCGAGAGCTAGTTCCGCTGGAGAGGAGAGAGGGGCTGTGAGCTCCTCTGGGCACAGAGCAAGTCAGCCGCAAGGTCAGGACTGGGACCCGGGGCTTCCAACCCAGCACATCCTCTCTCTTCTGCATCACACCTTGCCTATGAAAAGGCCAAGTGGTGAATATCTTAGGCTTTGCAGGCCAGGCAGTCTCTTTGCTCTACAGCTGCTCAACTCCACCCTGTGGCCCCGAGCAGGCATAGACAATATGGAAGTGATGGGTGTGGCCGTGTTCCAGTAAAATATTATTTCCCAAGACAGGCAGCAGCTGGACTGGACCTGTGAGCAGTGGTTTACTGACCATCACGCTACACAGCAGTGAATGAGGCTTAAAATTTGGATCCTTCAGAGCACATAGGGCCGGAGGGAGGGCAGCACCCAAGTGGACTCCAGTACTAAACTCTGGGTCTCAGATACTGGACCCTCCACTTTACTGAGGCATTTAGACCAAGACTGAAAGTCGATCCAGATGTTCTATAGTTTTGCAGCAAAGCAAAGCTGTCTGTGTGTCGTTGTTAATGCGGCTGCTGCTGTTATTTCTGAAACTCGAGCTTCACATGGCTCAGAAAAGTGACTCGGCTGCCATAGACATTGGGGAAACTCAGAAGACAGGGGTACTTGTTGCAAAGCAGATCTTCCTCAACCAAGCTGGTATCGAGCGCTTACAACATATTGGCATTGTGCTAGGCATTTCGGATGCATTCATCCCAACGACGCTGGGAAGGAGGTAGAATTACCCCCATTTCCAAAGGGGAGGAGACTGAGATACATAGAGGTGGGGGGATCTGCCCAAATCACACAGCATGTTCACAGTGGAATTGGGACACCAGCCCAGGATTTCTGAAGCCAGCAGCACTTATGGTTTCCATATGGCAAGATGCTCATCTGTGTGCTTGGCTACAGGAGAGGACTATGTAGAAACAAACCTATCTCAACCAATGGTTCAAAAGATAAGCCAGCAAATGATCTTTCAAAGGAACTTGCTGTTCAGCAAAATTGAGATCATTGTATTCGTGTGCTACAATGTATGAAACCCCAAAAGATAGTTTTTTTATTGTTGATGATTTTCCCAGTTA